ACAAAATTAGTCCGAAACAAATGGTATGGTTTTATTCACTTATTTCCAAATTCATATGATACAAGTAACAAGGGGAACAATAACATGATGTCCATTCAATTTCTTGCAAATTTAAGCATATTCTGATTTGTATTTTATCTTAATCACATATGCAATCGAATTTGTTCTAAATGTAATTAACTAATGCAGTTTGGCGTTAAAGGAATAGAAAATGTATTTTAAACCTAGGAAAGTGAATAAACTTGCAATGCAGTGGTGGCTATTATTCTTAAGTCAATGCCAGAATTTCATCGCAATTTCTTACGGCAATGTGTTTATTGTTGGCCAATGCAGGTTGCACAACTATCAAAAGGGCCAATGCAGGCAATGTGAATCGCTCTTTCTTTATCCTTTTCCCTCTCTCTTTCTATCTATGGTCACTCGGGCATTTCAAGGCTCTCAAGGGCCAATGCAGGCATTGGCTGACTCTCTCACGCTCTCAAGAGAGTCCATCAATATCTGCATTGGCTCTCTAGAGAGTCGGCCAATGCCTGCATTGGACCTTGAGAGAGTCAGCCAATGCAGGCATTGGCCGACTGCACATCAGTCAGTCAATGCAGGCATTGGCCGACTTTACATCAGTCAGTCAATGCAGGCATTGGTCAACTGCGCAGTCAGTCAATGCAGGCATTGGCCAACTGCGCAGTCAGTCAATGCCTGCATTGGCCGACTGCACATCAGTCTGTCAATGCAGGCATTGGCCGACTTCACATCAGTCAGTCAATGCAGGCATTGGCCGACTGCGCAGTCAGTCAAGGCAGGCATTGGCCGACTGCTCATCAGTCAGTCAATGAAGGCATTGGCCGACTGCGCATCAGTCTGTCAATGCAGGCATTGGCCGACTGCTCATCAGTCAGTCAATGCAGGCATCGGCCGACTGCGCAGTCAGTCAATGCACGCATTGGCCGACTGCACATCAGTCTGTCAATGCAGGCATTGGCCGACTGCGCATCAGTCTGTCAATGCAGGCATTGGCCGACTTCACATCAGTCAGTCAATGCAGGCATTGGCTGACTGCGCAATCAGTCAATGCAGGCATTGGCCGACTGCACATCAGTCAGTCAATGCAGGCATTGGCCGACTGCATGCACATAAGTTCTAATGCAGTCAATGATAGACTCAAAAGACTGATGCAATGCAGGCATTGTACATTCCACCGTATATACAGGTATAGGGACTGCAGGCATTGGAATACCTTTAATTCATACAGCTAATGCAAATAAAATCTTCCGTGTAAAAAATATAGTTATACATGTACATATTGTATTTGTCAAAACTGGTTTTTTACAGCAGACTTCTATAAATCAAGTAATGCCGATGAATGATCAATTTTAACGTTTATTTTAATTATGGAGAAGAATTTGCAGAAAAGTAAAATTAAATAAAAACGATGTATTTTCAAGGACAGTTTGATAAAAATTATTTGCGTAGAATCTTATTGCATTGTCAAAATGTTGTCTTCTTGATTCCTAAAGTAATCCATTTAGTCTGTGCAGTTCTCAGTACTTCGCCTGAAAATAGAATCGGAGTTAGTTACACAACATTGTTTGAATTCGTGTAAATTTGTATATAATTTTCGGCATTGTTTCACCAAATAATTACAATTCATCGTCTTGTCCCAACATAATAATTAATGTTATACGCTCTAAATATTAATTAAAATGCTTCTTTCGCAGATTTTTAATTTTATGTATTCATGTAATCATCACTCAATAATCAAATACAAGTAGTGAGGCACAATATTGAATATAAAACCTTATGATATGGTCGTTGCATGCCACCATTTTAACAAACAGACTCAGGTCTCATAGAATCGGATATCATTACAGACTGTAGTCTAATGTTGCTGTATAGATTCCATCTGAGTGTCACTCAACACTGTTAAGAAAAAAATAAGACATGTATTTAAAAATCCCTTGACAAAACAAACATGAACTTTGTAACTTTTGCCACTGCATGCAGTATTTTTCTGGGGAAAAAAATCACAACGGCCGAACCAAACTCTTTGGTGAGAGTGGGGCATGGTGTAAAAAAACGGTTTATTCTCCGAATGGCTACTCGGAAAAAACAACAAGTAATTATCACACTCAATTAAGGGGCCCTCTAAGGGGTACAGGTAGACTTACCTGTATGAATAATCTACCAGAATTTAAATAAAATAAAATGGATTTTTAATTTTTTTTTTATTTGAGCACTAGTATGAATAAATATTTTATATATATATTTTTTAAATAAATAATTTTACAAGCACAAAACATATTAAAAATTGTGTATAAATTATCTTTAAGTTGTATTGTTTAGCAGAACTGATTTCCCCAGTATATATTAGCACTGTTTCACTTTTATATCACACATATTTACAATTTATTTAGTCCATCTCCATATGTTTCATCACAACTACATGTAAGGGATCACTATCCAAGGTGAAGAAGTTCAGAGTCTAGTCTAGTGTAGAGTCTTTAATTTATTTATTATAGAAATTGAAACATAAACTTCTGTTTTTTATGATAATTTAAAAGAATGTTTTGATAATTAAAAATGATAAATAAATGAATTAATATAGACAAAACTTTGTACAAACACTTTTTTATCATAAATAAATATCTATATTATTTTAAGAAAAAAAATCATTTGTATTCATTTATCTAAAAGAGTTTGAAAATGTAGCACAAAAAGGGGATTATAACAATTTGTAAATTCTCAATCAATACTATTGAATAGTTTGGAAAAAAAAATTAAAATTTAAGGTACAATAAAAATTTTATTTTCCTTAAATCTTAATTTATTAATTAATTAATTGAGTATATTTCGGAAAATAAAATAAAAAAAACTTAATTAAAATAAAATTGAATGAATATATCTGATTTATAAAATATTGCTTATCCAGGTAAAAACAGGTAAGTCTACCTGTACCCCTTCGAGGGCCCCTTAATTGAGTGTGATAATTACTTGTTGTTTTTTCCGAGTATTTTTGTATTTTATTTGAACCGGAGACATTACATCTCATAGGTATACAATATTCATACATAAGATTTGTACAGGCTATACAATATACATGTATTAATTGCATAACAATATCATTTAATTATTATTTAGAACATCATTTCTTAATTGATGAGAAAAATACAAAAATTTGCCCAGGTTACATAGTTCTTTAGTATTTGTAGAACTCAATAGCTGTACTAATTTAAATACTGATGGTTTTTTAAAATAATAACTCTTAATATATTTAATTCTAAGTTCTTTATATCGAGGACATTTTAATACAAAATAAAATTTGTCCTCTATCTCACCTGACATACATATTTCACATTTTCTATCTTTTCTTTCGATATTACTATACCTTCCCCTTTCTATTCTTAAATCATGGGCTGATAGCCTTAAACGACTGATAGGTATTCTATACTTAGAATGCAATGGTTTTCTTAAATAAGTCTGTAATGCAACATTATCCACTAAATGTTGAAATAGAAAATATTTAGGAGAATTACAAATTCTTGCCATAATTTCTTGTTTATAACAGTCATACATTCTTTGAAATATAATGTTCAGAGTATTATTATCAATACAATCACTATTATACATGTCAGCTAAACCAAGCCTTTGGAATTCCTTCTTAATGTTTACAATCCATTCATCATTATTTTCAACCATATCTTGATAACATGCTTGTATTTAAATATACAATTATCACTGTTTTTTAATTTCACCCAGTATTTCAAAATTTTCTTTTTCCTTTCAAGTATAAGTGGAAATCTACCTGATTCACAATAAATTGCATCATTACTAGTGCTTTGTCTGACCTTTAAGACTCTTTTACAATAATTTAAGTGAACATTTTCTATGTCTTGACCCTTGTGAAATCCCCATACTTCAGCTCCATAACTCATAACACTGTTAACATAAGAATCGAATACAGCTAATTGTGTTTCTACGTTAAAATGCAAATCCCTGATTTTACTATTTACACCGTACATAGCTTTTTTACCTTGACATGAAAAATGTTTCTGTGTTTCAGTAAATTTTCCATTATAATTAAATAACATACCTAGATAATTAAACTGATTAACAACTTCAACATTGCAACCGTTGTACATCCAACGTTCATTTTCCAGTATTTTACGACTATTGCGAAAAATCAATATTTTTGTTTTTTCAACATTAACAGTTAGATTCCACTCCGTTGTATATGTATATAATGCATCCAACATTCGTTGTAAACCCTCAGATGAGTCAGATATAAAAACAGTATCATCTGCATACATCAGTAAAAATATATTTATCATCTGCAGTTCGATTGATGGACAATTATTTGTAATAAAGTGACGTTCAAAGTCATTCAAATACATAGAAAATAATAATGGTGATAAAATTTCACCTTGTAACACACCAGACGTAAGCCATTCGGGGAACACACCAAAAAAACTTATCAGACCAAATAATTAAGGGGTACAACCATAAAGATTTCTAAACACACGCCATAATTTGCAAACATTTCTACAACTATATATTTTTTTTCTACGCTAGAAATCGAAAAAAGTACGATTTACTTTAGAAAGAAGCTGTACATCAAAACTGGAAAATCCCGAATCCCAGAAATAACCTTAAAAATAGTTAAAAGCATTTCATTTTTTTATATTATTATATTATATTACATGTACTTGGGCAAGTTAGAAATTAAAAAAAGGCAAGTTATTTTGAATAATAATTGAAACATTTGCCAAATAAACACAATATAGTTGCATAATTTAAATAAAAGCATGGTAGGCTACTTTGTACAAACCTTCAATATGTCTTAAATCTGCAGCTGGAACTTTCCGTCTTGAAAACGCATACTGTAGGATATACACTGGACGAAGCTTTGCTTCAAGAAGACCACAACTGGTGTTTTTCCACTGCATAATAAAAACTCCATACTTTTTTTAATCGCCCACATATTATTTTGCTGTGTGAATGATCAGTCTTCAAACAGGCCTAACTGTTGGGTGATGCACTACGTACTTATATGACGTCACAATATTACAGAAACTAAAATCCGCGAAACGTTAATAAGCCAAGGGGTTAAGATGATCTTTTTAAAATTCAACGATAAAAAGGACGTATTTCTAGCTACCAAAGGTTGTGTGTTTTTGTTGAATGATTATACACGGGCACATGTTACGTTTTACCAATCGAGGCATCGAAATAGCTGACCAGCCTACAGCAGAGGGGCCGATGATTGAGTGTAACGTCAGGCCTACAGACTGTTTATCGTTCTTCGTGGTAAGTAGTTTGCATGCGCGGATCTAGAGGGGGGGTCGGGGGGGGGGGTCAGGACTCCCCCCCCCTGGAATTTCCACGGTTCAAAAATGTATATACTAAAGCATGAGAAAAGTCACCTTGGACCCCCCCTGTAAAACGCTGCCCCCCCCCCCCGGTGAACATGTATATGTTTGAAATGGGTATGAAAAATGAAAGATTTGAGGCAATAGAAGTCATTGACTACCCCCCCCCCCCCCCCCCCCCCCCTACGAAATAGGTTTTTCACGTTTGGGCGAGTTAACGTTGTTTTTTTTTTTTTATTTTTTTTTGCTTGTCAAGAAATTTCTGGGATTGGATTTTTTTTTTAACTGGGTGGACCCCCCCCTGGAAAAAAATTCTGGATCCGCGCCTGGTAGTTTGTACGTCTGTTCATAAACCAGTTATAGATAAAAGTGTTTACTTACAAATAACATAAAAGGGTTTACTAAGTTACAAATAACATAAAACTTACATTTAGACGGCCGAATTTTTTTTTTATACATGATTATAATACTCGGTCTTAATAGCTACTTTCACTTTTAAATACAGAGGCGTTCAAAAGATGGTGCATCGCAAGAAATTTTAATTTATGACGAATTAAAATAAATATCTACAATCAGAGTAATTTCAATCTATTTTTCCTTCACAATTAAAAAAAAGAGGATAATTTTTTATTTCAGTTTTAAAACCTTCTCCTTGTAAGGATGTACATGTAAACTCGTCCATTAGTGCATTACAAACCAGTAATATACAGATGAATGTGAATAGTGAAAAAATCCAAAAAAGAAAACTCTGGTAAGATTATGTTTCTTTTTTATTTGGTTTGTTTGTATTTGTTTGAATGACAGGGATAGAATATTCATTCAATTCTGAAAAGAAGGGGGGGGTCTGGAGATTTTTTTTTTTTAAAGTAGTTGTGCTAAAAAATTGAATCAAGATAATATGTCCAGTGGCAGGAATTTAAAAGAAATATGCCTCTGGTTATCCGGAAAATAAATTATTCAGTCTTGTGAAGGCTTGGGAATGCATAGTTAATCTGCCTTACAGAATATATTGCTATCATATTCTTACAAAGTCTTTTCATTTGAAGAAATAAGTTTAAATTATTTGTGAACTATTCTAATCATAAACAGAGTTAAATTAAATGAAATATTGGAAAAAAAATTGGAAAGGAAATGTAAAAATAAACGGTAATTCTCGATTATTTTAAAAAGAAGTTTACTTTAATACTGCATGCATTTCTTTTTCAGGTATGCACGGGTTAAAAGCTACAATATAGACCAAAGGAAAAGAAAAAGATAGAGGATCAAGAAAACGCTTTATAATATATGACATTAAATGAATAACTCATATGCACGACTAAATGTGCCACTTTATTTCCTACTATTCATATACTTTAGGAAAATATTTATACCATTATACATGTGCATATATCAAGTGAATTTGTTTTGTTACATCAGTTTCAGTCATGTTGGAAATTCATCAAATTCCCCGCAGTGAAAATATTAATCAGTTAATTAGAACACTTAGGAATTTGTTGTCAATTAACAGCCAAAATCATTTTATGCTGGCTTCTTTAGAATTTACAAAATTAATAACACCTTTGTGGAAAAAAAGACCAACTTTCACCTCATGCACGTTAACTTTTCTTATGTCCATTACGACGCTTTATGGTTTTAAAATTATCTGGCCTCCTATTATTTTATATTTATCAATTTCAAATTAAAATGATATTGTTTATCATTACCGAGTATACATATTCTTGACATGATAATTATTAACAATCAAACAGCCATTTTTTTATGGAACAGTTTGTCAAAGTCAGCCATGCAAGCCTGGGGATTTAAAATCTACTGTGAAGAAGAATGAGGTGTATTGACTGATTATGGAGTCGGCCAATGCCTGCATTGACTGACTGATGTGCAGTCGGCCAATGCCTGCATTGACTGACTAATGTGCAGTCGGCCAATGCCTGCATCGACTGACTGATGTGCAGTCGGCCAATGCCTGCATTGACTGACTGTGCAGTCGGCCAATGCCTGCATTGACTGACTGATGTGTAGTCGGCCAATGCAGGCATTGAATGACTGATGTGCAGTCTGCCAATGCCTGCATTGACTGACTGCACAGTCGGCCAATGCCTGCATTGACTGTCTGATGTAAGGTCAATGCCTGCATTGACTGACTGATGTAAGGTCGGCCAATGCCTGCATTGAATGACTGATGTGCACTTGGCCAATGTCTGCATTGACTGACTGATGAGTAGTCGGCCAATGCCTGCATTGACTGACTGTGCAGTCGGCCAATGCCTGCATTGACTGACTGATGTAAGGTCGGCCAATTCCTGCATTGACTGACTGTGCAGTAGGCCAATGCCTGCATTGACTGACGTGACACTGATAGACAGTATAATGCACAATACCTGACAGAGCCTGCATTCATACTGCATAGTAATGGTAATCCTGCATTAGGGAATTGGGACATGTAAATTATCTGCATTCGGATAAAGTTGCACAAATTCAGTAGCATTGCAACAATGCAGGTAAGGAGATGTAAAATGGAAAAATAATTCTAATGAAAACATCTCCATCTGGAATTTCAGTATTTTACTTTTACCAATTTAACTTTATTTTGCTCAACTTTGAAAAGCAAAATTTTGTCAATTCAAATGTGTGCTTCAGCATAGGTTTTTGTAAGGTGATGCACGAGTCATTGATAAACAAAGCTTTAAACAGTGATATTTGCATAAAAAAATAGTTGAGACAAATCAAAATTTAGTTGAGACTCCATTATATGGAAAAATCATTTAGACAAACGGAAATCGTGCCCTTAGAAGAATTGTTAATGTATCAAATGCTTATCATAGAGGACATACCGTGACTCCTGAAGGGAATCTGCTTTTTCTAGACAGGTATCGTAATATAATCAAATTCTTTACAGAAACGGGGATCCAAAATACTTTACTGATAAAGAAAGAAAAACCATGGGAACCAAAGAGTATCTTCTGTTCTGTCCCCAATGCAGATGTACTGGTTGGGATGTTGATGTATATTAAAGATCAATCATCATGTAGAAATACCAAAGTAATGAGGTAAAGCAGTGATGGACAACAAATTCAGACAATACGTCACAATAACACAGGAGAGAAACTGTATAAACGTCCATTATATATCATCGAGAATCACAAAGGAGTTGTAATTGTTTCTGGTATGAACCATGGTGTAGTGGTTACAGAGCATGGAGGAAGATATCGCTTCTTGTATATACGACCTCCATTAGGTATACAGATAGAACCACACGGAATTTGTGTTGACGCGATGTCACATATTCTGGTGTGTGATAAAAGAATCAGAACAATTCAAATGATTGACAAGGACGGTCACTTTTTATCTCTTTTATTCACCGAAAGACAGACAATGAATACTCCATGGTGTATGGCTACGACAACAAAAATCACCTTCTCTTTGTTTGCATGTTGTTGGACAACACAGTTTCTGTGTACAAATGCGTTCAAAGAAAGGACTTTCTTACAGATGAATTGAATTCTCCGAATGCCCAATGATGTGACGTTACACTAGAATTCAGGCGCCGAGAAGTCAAATTTTCCCATCTATATAAAAACAAAAAGCAAAACAACTACTCTGCACATATATTTATTGTTGCATGAAGACATATCTATCGATATGGTTAAATTTCTTGTTTTAGTCAATATTAATAAATCAATTCTTTACATAATATTTTTTGATAAATAAGTCGTTATTATTTATTACAAGAAAAACATTCAAACTAATAAGGCTCCATAATATGTTTTAAGAAAAAATGAAAATGGATATGAAATGTGCTATTGTTCTACCATTTACATGCAAAAACCACACAAAATATTAGAAATCATAACCATTATATACATGTGTATATAATATTCTTTAATTGATAAATTCAAATATTTTGGATCAGTTAACATTTAATGATTTCAGTCATACTTTTAACAATCAGTTGGAGATCAAATGAGGAGTAATGGAAACATGCTACACACAAAAAATAAACAACCAGATCATTTTATCTTTAATTATTTTCACAGTATACGTATCTTACAAGTGACATGACATTTGACCATTATTGAATGCATCATTCGTGCCCAGCACAAAATCAGAAATGAAGTTGGCCAGGTCAACACTTTTCAACTAATTTATCAGATTAACAAATTGACGTTTATGTTCGATGCATACCAAGTTTTTCTACCTTTAGAATTTTTATAAAGTCTACAAATAGTCAGTTGGAGATGTTTGATTAATTCATAGTTTTAAAGAAAAGTGAAAGATATTTCTAACCGCAGCAATTTTTTACTTTCTTATCTCCATATCCTTCTTTGAGTAGATTATAGAGTAGACTCATTCGTCATATTTATGACGTCAGGTGTCGCTGGTGTACTAGAGATGGTTACGTAAACGCTTTAATCACCACGGCGCTTGTAACAATGTAAACAAATGGACGTGTTCTCGAACTTGGAGCTAATAAACGGAGGGGCTGAATCGATCTTTAATTGAGCTGTCACAACCGGGAAAAGGCAATTATTTTTTGTAAATAATATACATTTATGGAAAAATTCTAAGAATTATCGAGTGTAACATGCCTATATGACGAAGATAGTACAATGACAAACATTGAGTTTACAATCGACATTTTGTAGATTGTCAGATGTATTATCATCTTTGCCACTTACAAAAACACTAGATTCAAATGGAATTAGTATATGATATGAATACTTATGGCAATATTTTGTTATTCATTCCTTTTTACATGACAATCATCGCACAACTAGGTTATGTAGGTCTACACTGGTTACATACTGTTGCATTTCGTTTTTGTTGTTTAAAAGAGCAACGTCCAAAATGATCATCAAGGGTAATTAAGTGTAACGTAATATTCATTGCAAGGCAAATACCAACCAAACATTCATTTTATTCAAACAGATTACAAAAAAAAAAAAAAAAAAAATTAATAAACAAAACTGAAACAAACACAAACATCATATTTCAACCCTCATCAAAAGACTCTCCAGATCCTTCACAGAGATACACTAAATGGCCATTCATTGATATTAGATAAAGATAACCGATTTTTGATCAGCCTCATATTGTTTGTTTTTTTTTTAAATAAAAAAAATGAGATTGGTACTTTTACTTTGATGTAACTTGTCCACATTTCGCAGTGGTTAAAGTGTCTGCCCTGCTACAGTCGCCAAAGCTAAGAGCTGAATCTAACGTTGCAGGTTCAAATCCACTGCCTTACGTGGAGACGCCCCAGGATCATGAAACATCTTAAGCTTAAGTTGAAATCTTTATGGTGTGCTGAAATGTTGTAAAAGTCAAACAGTCAAAATAAAAAATACTGATAAATATTTGCTGTTAACTGCCAATTTAGAGATGAAGTTGACAATTAATAAACATTTTATAACTGAAGATTGAAAATTTGACTTAAGTCTAAATTTGTTTCATGATCCTTGAGCCTGTCCTACAGATGAGACCGTGTAAACTGTGGCTCTGTTTAGATCCATCAAGAAAAAGATCCATCACTGCTCAATGGCCCAGAGTGCCGAGAATAGGTATCTTTGCAGTCCGCCATCAGCAAATGATGGTATCTCCATATGAGTAAAAAATTCTTAAGAGGGACATTAGACAACAAACAAACATAAATTTAATATGTCCCCTTATATTTTATAGTGCATATGAATAATTTGAAATTTATTTGTTCTGTACATATTTTTTTTTCATAGTCAGTAGCTACATTTATTACATACTTAGTAATACAGGTTTGTTGCATATGCGATATGGCTGACGTCACAATAGCCGTATCAGCCCTGCAGGATCAATATCAAATCCCTAGTAAATTGAACCTCAAAAAACAGTACTTGTGATCACACACATATTTTGGGGGTTACATAATTCTCTAATTTTAACTTTTTGAATGTAATGATAATCTAACTGATAAATAATAGATTTTTTTTAATTTTGGATTGAGGACATCTGAAATATAGAAGTACATGAAGAAACAAACCGAAACTGTATGAGACAATAGACTGTGTACATTTTAAGAAGTCCATGCATGATTATTTACTTATTTTCTTCTGAACTTAATGTGTTCTGTATTTTATTACTAAGTATATAATAAATATAATAAAATATATACCCTTTTCCATATATATCTTTTATCAGCCCTCGACCAATATCAGCCAGAGGGCCGAAGGCCCGAGGGCTGATATTGGTGTCTCGGGCTGATACAGGGTGTGATATGGAAACGGGTACATGTATGTATTATTATATTTGTATACCTAGAGCATAACACCTTTGTTATAATAAAGGTAAAAATGAGTACAAATATTTTAAAGTTATAATTTGCTAGGTCCATTTTGTACAGTACCGGTATTTGTGTTTCTATAATGTGACCCTCAACAACTTAGTTTACATTTACAATTTAAGTCGGAAAGATATACATGAGTCAGTAATTAAATAAAACCTGCTGCATGTAAAAAT